AACAACAACAACAACAACAACACACACACACACACACACACACACACACACACACACACACACACACACATATATATATATATATACGCGTATTTTTAAGAATGTAAAATAAATGTTTATTCAGATTGACGATGCTGCTGCGATTGGCGTCGAAAAGATCAACACTATCTTGGAGAGTTTTATGGGTATCTCTGATACGGAATTAGGTAAGTTATATAAGTTTAATAATCTGTGTATGATAAAAAAATGAGTGTTGAATAAGATGAATTATTTTCAAGACTTGCGCTCTCTCTGTTTCTGCCATAATTTTTATTCTTTATTTTACCAAAAATATTGATGATATTCGATTGCATCTGGTTTGTTGTACAGCCACGCAAATCTGGGAACTTGCCGAGGGCAAGTGCAACAGTATAGACTTCGCCGAGGCGATCGACAGCTCCGACTTGGAAGACTTCGGCTTCACCGACGACTTTGTGATCGAATTATGGGGCGCCGTGACCGATGCCAGAGCAGGCCGGCATCGATGACGCGAGGATCGGGGATTGCGAACATCGAAGAAAAAAAACATCGAATATTGGAATAATGAGACGAAGCTATTTTCGAGCAGATAATGATCGCTTTCTCCACAGAAAAAATAACGTTTGTTCTTTCTCGTGTTACGATCCAGTAGCCGTGTTATAATCCAGAGGCCTCACAGAGGCGCTTTTAACGCCAAATATGATTTTTTTTCTTAATTTTCTTACTTTTCGAAAAAAGATTGTTTGATTTGTGAACGTTTCTCAAATTCTCAAATGCGGCAAAATCCTATTTGGTTTTAAGTGTAGGCTGAAATCTGTAATACTCCGTATCGTATTGTATATTGTGTCATAGAACAAGAGCGCAAATTTAAATGGGAAAAGAAAAGAATAATTTAATTTTAAAAAAGATAGAAACCTTTTTATTTTGAAAATTAATATTGAAATGTTTTACGTTGTAGTAGCAAAATTTTCAAATTATAAAATATCAAATATCGTTAAAAAAATTATAATAAAGATATTAATGAAAATTTCTTTCTCTTTTTTTATGTAACTAGAATATTGATTTTGATTTCTTTTTATAATTGCAAAACGATTCGAACAGATATCGACTAGCAAATGCAGAAAACAATGTCTAATATTAGTATTGATTAGTATGAATTATTCGAATGATAACATAATATAAACATGTTGACTGGTCAATTTGACGTCATTGCATTGATATCAATATCGATGATATTTTAATACGAGCGAGTAATCATTTGTAATCAGAAAACTAGAGAACACGCATGTCTAAAACATGTGTCTTAAGAACATCTTAAAGCAATAAAGACGTCATCGGACGTAAAATATTCTGAAGATATCACTAAGTTATTCTCGATATATCTTCGTGATACAACTTTTAAATGTTCTAAGAGAAAAATATTTTGTTACGCTAATGATAAGAGAGAGATGATAAATTAATATATTTTAATATATATGTAAATTTATGATGGATAATAACTATGCGAGCAACTATTATATATATATATATATATACTTAGTTCCAGAGAAATAAAGTCTTTGTAACAAACGCCTGATTTCTTTTACTGATTCTATACATCAAATATAAAATAAAAATCGAGTATTCTCATATCGCTATTTTTAGAATATAGCAATATTGCCATTTCAGTTAGCATTCGCTATCTGGCAGAGATAACGATGAGGTATTGGAGAAATCAGTCTTCTGTTGGAACATTATCTTCGGATATAATATGTAATACTGACAAGCTGACATTATTTAAACTCTTCACGTTGCAAATCAATCACGTACAAATTTCCATTTTTCCAACGTACAAATTTACCTGTTTTTTATTCTATATTAGAGCGTACTTTTTAAAAAATTGTTTTCGCTTTCGTCAAACGTATGTCTATTTTATTTTAAATACAGCAAGTGTATATACTAGTTCAGTTATAAAAAATAGACCTTTTAGATTTATTGAAATATAGGATCATAGATATCATAGAGATATTAATATAAAAATATATTAATATAAACTTTTGTTTTTTTTTTTATTTATCTTTGTGCTGTGAAGATTGACATTTTCTTAAGTGTATTCATGCAATTAACTTGCTCTTTTTTAGTCTGCTTATCACAGTTGCATGTAAAATCATTAAGAAGTTGCACGGAAATCTTGTATTAAGAGATACAATTTAAAAAAACCGAAGATATACATATTTATTAATTGCGCCATTGATCATTCCTTATTTAAATCGGTATCTAATTTTAATCGCGAAAGCTGACGTCCTTGTTATAAAACAGCGTAAACACGATAAACACGTTTTATTTCGATGGAGTCATATTTTACATAGCTCCCCTTTAAGACAATTCAGTGCTACGAAAGACTCGTTTAAAAGTGC